TCTATTCACCATAAGACTAGTCAAGAATGCCTTGCTTCAGCATAAAGTAGTCTTCTAGATTGTCTATTGATTGGAAATTCAGCATCAGGTTCAGGAAATATACAAACTAGGTTAAAAAAAATACTAAACTGTTATCTTGTTTATTGTCTCTCGTTCTATGAGTTGGAGCCCAGGCAATTCAAACATTAATCACTCTTTATTTAGCAAACAAATTAATCGTTAAAAATAGAAATGAATTTCACTTCTCTGCACTAGCAGTGGCGGCAGCAGGTTATGAAGAATTCAAATCCGATACCCAATTAGAGCACCGAAATTTAAGAATGTTAAGTGAGTGATAAAATTAGAACAGAAAGAACAACAGCATGGAAAGGTTCTCTCGATATTCAAAGGCCTTCCGAATTCTTTCAAGAAGCAACTAGTAATTGTAGCAGGGAGTGAATACAAAAGCATGAAGTTGTGTGATGTGGTGGCTACCGACTGCAGGTTTTGAACCGATCACCATCTACATGATTTTAATGAAGAATGCAGCGCAGAACTTTGTGATCATAGGACGTTGAATCCACGATCATCTCAGTATATGAGGAAACTGGGACGAACAAAATCGTGTGTAGAATGGTATTTTCCTTTGAGAAATTTGTGACTCGACACTTCGCACCTGACATTGATTGTTATCATCAGAATAAATCAACCTCATCATTTCAGTATAGGCGGTAGCAGAATTGAAGTCGAAGGTGGAAGACGATGGAAGAGGTAAGGCTAGTGATGGGCTATCAGTTTTTCGTACATAGAATTGTCATCTGAGTTAGTCTGATGAAGACACAAGCTGTTGAAGTCGTTTCTGTAAGAAGAGAAATCAATGGTGGACTCAAGAGGCTGACCAGCAATATCCTTACAACTTTGATCTTCCCGTTCACCCAAATTCAAACTGTGCTTAGAATTCACCACCGTCATCATTGCAGCATAAGAGGAGAAATGGACGTTGTTGACCTTGGCAAAGGAAGAACAGCGTTGGAAGGAGCGGACTTGACACAAAAAATAGCACCATCACCATCCCTCGCTGATCTCTCTGGCTCGTCTCTTCGAACCTTTCCATCTTTACCCTCACAGCTCGACTTGTTAATCACTTTCACAACTTTTAATATTTCATGAATTTTTTTATTTTTTAACATCTTTTCAAATTGTAATCAAGGTATTTTGCTACGACGAGGTTTTATTACGTGTTTCTTGAAATCAAAAGGGTTTTCAATCAACTTTCCATGATCGTTGTAATTTCCCAATCGATATAAATTATGTAAAGATCAGACCACTTGTAGTTAAATTTGAACGGCCACCTTTATGCTTGATACTTAATTCCATTCTGAACAGGCCTAGGAAAGCAAGACAATTCCGAAGAGCTGTTTAAGAACCCAATTGCCACAACAGCGGACCAGTTCAATGATTAACTGTAAATCGATTGTCGCATAACAAATTTGAGGAGACAGTTGTAGAAATAAATAGAAATAAATACGTAATGGAAGGAACATTGAATCAAACAAAAACTCCTTGCTCATAGCTCCCAAAAAATATGGAAGAAATCGTTGTAAAACAGAAGGAAAATCATAAGCATGAGCACAAATATAATCTTGTGTGGGCCCACGCACCAAAATTCCTTTCAGTCCTCCACTCCAAAGCTAATTTAGTCTCTATTAGCTAAATTCTGGTATTGATACATGTTCTTACAATCTAAATCTTTATGTTGAAGTAATCAGGATCAAAGTGATGCAGCCTCACATAACCGTCCTCGCCTCCACTTGAGAAACTACGTTTGAGCCAACAAGTAACAAATACATCAAACAAGAAGCATTCAAGGGTAATTAAAAGCTTTGACAATATATAAGCAACAGAATTCTGCTCACATTTCAGAAACATAACAGGGGTTAGGCAACAGCTATATGATGTTCATCAATTAAAATTATCAGTTCAGTTCAGCACAGTAAGTTGAAGAATGAAATGGCAGTATAATAAATGCTAAGTGATATTAAGATGTATAATATCACCAAAACTTGATGCATATTCTATTAAAGCAAGATAATTGGAGTTGAAAGGAAGCCAGGTATTTAATGTCAACATTTTCTAATTTGATTAGCACCAATGCACATAAAGGGTCAATTAAGCAAAGAGTGCCAAACACCAGAAAATAAACGTTGCCAGATTGCTGAATAATTGTGTTGGTAATACTGCTCAAATCTATTGGGCAGACTAATCAAACAAAATGTTAATTTGTTTAAAACTACATGAAAAGAGTGTTGTCTGTGTAAAAAGATGTGAATTAAAAAATGGAATTTCATTCTATATGATTAAATTTATTGACACCGATTTAAGAAATATGACAGAATAAGGTAGCACAAAGTATACCTTTTCCCATCAGGGTTAAACGCCAAAGCATTTATAGGTCCGAAATGACCTTTCACACCACCAATTTCTTCTTGAAGAATCTACAAAAGAAAAGAGTTAAATAACACAAATTCAAAATGTTTCACAGCCACAGATCTTCATATCATAAAAAAAATCCATCAGCATGAAGTAACCTTGTCGTAGAATTTGGCTTCAAACTTCCCAGCACGGTGATCAGTTGTGGTTACAGATGATGCATCCTGACCA